CCTGATGCCTGCAGATACACGATGCACAGTGAGGGGAGAAGGGAGGTCAAAGAGCAGAGAAGATTTTTTGTTTGAATATCTCTTGTCTTGCCATAAAAATATGACTTTCATTTCACAAAACTACAGTATGGAGACTGTGATGCTGGCACTGGGACCAACAGATGGATCCGTGGGACACACAGCAGAGCCCAGCCACAGATACACGCTTCTCTACTATCATAGAGTTCCCAACAGTGTCACCAGAGCAATTCAAGGGGGAAAAGTCTTTTCAACAAATGATGCCAGAATTAGTTTACTAATTAATTTTTTACACTTAAAAAAAAACCATGAAGCCAACCTGGAGAATGTATGTCAGGATGCTCTAGGCTGTGCTGCAGAAACCACTAAGCCCTGGAAGCGTATTTGTTCACATCACACTGTGACCTGCATGGGTGGTGAGTCAGGAACTCAGGCTGCTTATATCCCTGGGGCCCAGCATCCTTGGATCGTCCAGGTGAAATGGAGGAGAAAGCGGGATGAATGCATACTAGATACACACCATCTGAGCCCAGTAGGGATGTTAATTTCCCATATGTCACTGGCTTGAAGAAGTCACATGGCCACCATAACAGCCAGGGAAGCTGGAACAGGTAAAGAGTGCTGTGGCATCGATGTTACTGAATGCAAATTCATGTGCCTGATGAGTGAGGCCAAACATACCAAAACATCGGAGTTTGGAGCAGAGATAGGTTGATTGCAGGGCCAAGCAAGGAGAACAAGAAGGGGCGACTCATGCTCAAAACAACCTGAACTCCCCGATGGTTTTCCAGGAGAAGATTTTAAAAGGTGAAATTTGGGGTGAAGGCTGCAGGGTGTGACTTTCTTCTGATTGTTTGGTGGTGAGGCAGCAGGGCGGTGTTCCAGGAATCTTGGCTCAGCCTGAGGTTACAATCCTCTAACTCGCGGGGGCCTTAGCTCCTGCAGAAGAGCTCAAAGATATTGTTACGTATATTCCTTGAGGAGGAGCCAGGACCCTGCCCCAAGGCTGCACTATTGTTTCGTGACCACTTCTTTGTTTCTGCATTCCCTCCCATCCCTGATTAGCAACTCTTTGAATCTGCCCTTTGGAACTCAGGGAAGGCCAAGGCGGCTGAATGAAACCTATTTCCTACAAACAAGAAACAGGGGACAGGGAAAGGATTTGTACTCAGCAGGGCCCTCAGGGTCCTGCTCCGTCTCACTAAGTGGACAGAGGGAAAGATCCTGGGTCTCTGATGCTGCTGGTGCCACGTTCTCATCATGCATTTGTTATTACGAGAGAAACATTTCAGCCAGTGTTAATCACCTTGTTTGCATCTAGAAGCACTCCTAACTCATATGGAATGTGAAGCAAAGTCCATAAGTACAAATCGTTTTTGGAAGGAGTAGTAAGGGGAAGAAAAATGAAATAAAAGAGGTGTTGGGCTGCACCCCACAGGCCTACAAGCCCTGTACTTACCCAGCTTCAAGATCAAAGAAAGAGCCCGGCGTCAGCAACAGAGACATCAGTGGTTTAATGGGTGGGTGA